AGCCACGCGCGCGTTTAGGAGAGAGAGTGTGTGTGTGTGTGTGTGCGCGCGCGCGTATGGGGGGGGTCGAGTGCAGAGTGATAAGCGTATGTGTGTGCGCGCGCGTGAGGCAGAGCGAGCGTGTGTCTGCTTGTGATAGAACCTCGAACACGTGTGTGGGTGTGTGTTATATGCTTCCCGACTCCTGATGGCGATCCCTCTCACGCATCTGTCCAGTGTCAATGAATGTCCTTTTCTCCTCCTAGTGTCCTCTTACCCCGCCTCCTCCACCTCCTCCACCTCCTCCACCTCCTCCTCTCATTTGGCCGAGGTGAGTACTCTGTCCCCAAGGCTGATTATACCGCCTGCCTTTCTTCGTGGTCCTCGTCCTCCTCCCCCTCCCATTCTCCTTCCTCCCTCCGATCTGGACCTTCGCGGCATCTCCCTGTAATGTCGCGACCACCAGTTTCCCCCGAATAGAACGCACGGTCATTGTAAGTGTATTCGGGGCAACTTTCAGTCTAAATACAGCGATAATGACTTCGCGTTCTGGATGGTGGTCAATTGAACATTGATGGCTCGACGACGGAGATGTCCTGTCTAGAGTTCAAATGACACCGAGGACCATACACTGAGGGCCATACTCACAATGCGACTTTCTTACTTTTTTATGGACGTAATTTTGGTCAGATACATCCACGTCTGGCCGTAAATTATGTCAGACACATTTAAGATAAGATAGAGCTAGTGTGAGTACGCCCTGAATAGACTCAATGGTGTCAAGCAAAAGTGATGCTGTCGTCAGCCTCTCTCTCTCTCTCTCTCTCACACACACACACACACACACACACACACACACACACACACACACACACGCACGCGCGCAACATACGCACATATCTCGATCTCCTCCTCCTCCTCCTCCTGTTGCTGCTGGTTCAGCTATTTATAGTACGTTCTTGCGCTCTGTGAATCTAGGATGGCAGCTGATTGGACATTTGTGACTGGCCGTTTCGCAGGCACTTGCTATTGCTGCCCTTGATGAACCTATCCCGTTGTTTCGTGTTTCGTTCTTGTTGTTGTCGTCGTTTTTTTAATTATTATTTTTACGTCTGACCTAGTTTGCCATATGAGCGGGAGTGGCACTGCGCAAGTGGCTGGTGCAGAGCAGCCCATGTGGAGGTTGCCACGCTTCGCGGCTTCGCCTGTGCAGAGCAGGGCTAGCTCTGTGCCACACCACATGACCTTAGTGTCGTAGGGGCTTGGCAGAAACCGATAGACGCACGTCTCCTCCTCTTCCCTCTCAGGGCGTACTCACACTAGCAGTATCTCAAATGTATCTGACCACAATGACGCCATACCTGGATGTATCTGGCCACAGTTCCGTCCAAAAATACGCAAAGACGTAGTAGTGTGCGTATGCCCTCTTTCACGTTTTCGGTTTCAAATTTTCTAATCCTGTTCCTTAAGAAGTCAATTGGTTGGGAAAAAAAAAAAAAA